GGAACTTCACTTGAGCAAATTCTGAAGTTGTGCGATTGCACACAATATTCACATTTGCTAAATTTCCGAAATGTTGACCATAAAGACGCATATACCAAGGATAAGCGTTCTTTTTGAGACTTTTCCAATTTTCTAACTTCATAGAGCTGCCAGAACCTTGGATACAATTCATGCATTCAAAATAAAGAATTAAGACGCAAAATGGTCGTTGTGTGCAATCGCACATGTTAAAGGCAGCGTCCACTCAATCGCCTTTCATTTTTTTTCTTTTGGGGCCTTTCCGCGGCTCTGATTACATGAAGCTCAAAATGTGCAAGAGCGCAAAACCTGATTTCTGAGAACCCCTATTCTGAAGGCACAGCTGAATTTCCTGGCTGGGCGGAGCTTGAAAACGTGGGCGTGGCTTGACACACTTTTGCGGGTTCCAGGTTCATTATCTCCATTCAGAGGCCACAGTATAGGATCAAACCAACGCAAATGCCCCTTTCCTGGGGTCTACATTCAGTTCAGGCAATAATCGGAAAAGCTTAGATTTTCTGGACGTTGCCTTGAAATCCACACACATGACCGTACATGGTAAATGATGTCAGCTTTCACCTTTAGCGCACTGTGTGCGACTACACCACAAGGGAATGAAATTCACCTAGTACAAACAATCGTACATGCCGTTCATCTTATTCAACTGAAACACATTATAGTGTCATTATCGTCGGTTCGATCGTCTCTTGCGTAAAATGCGTCGACATAGGCGGGCGGAAGAGCTATTCCGGCAATTATGTGCTCAGCATTTCAAGAGCCGACTATAAGTAAATTTACAAGCTGTCTGGAAAGCGAAAGCACTTCTGGAGGGTTTACACTCAGAAAAACGAATGTTATTCTTTGGAACTGGATGCAAGTATAGCAGCCAGAGCGTTTTTTCATGGGGCGCGACCAAAGTTTCATAGCTGAGCGGGTATGACCTCAGCCATGCCCTTCAAACAAATTTTTTATGGGGTGCTTTGCAAAATTGAACGGCCTGTGACTCCGAGATTATCAGGAAAAGGTGGGTGGCGGCAGATTGATTGATTCGAATGATTTGCGAAGCAAGATTAGGCTAAACAAATTCAAAATATTATATCAATTGTTTACAGGTGAAAGAAATATCGTGCAACTTCCCCCCCCCCCTCGCGGTCCGCTGGTAGCGCATATGATCCGATTTGCACCTCTTCGCCAAAGACACATGACAAGGAAAAATAACTGCTTTTTCATAGTTTATCCACCAAACTTGCAACACAAATTAATTACATCCTGTGCAAAAAAATTCCCCAAATGCACAGCTTGACCAAGAACCTCTCAAACATATTTTTCACAGAACTTGTGGAACTTCTGCCGCGTCAGCCACGCGTCCTCATGCAGTAAAATAATTTGCCCTTGTCAGTTATTTCTCCGCTGATCAACCTCATCTCAAAGGTACAGGCGCTCTTTCCGTTGCTTTCACACCTTCAAGCGCGCAGCTCACCGGGTGCACATATTACAAAACAACTTTTATTCTCTAGGGAGAGTAGAAAATACTCATCAGTTTTCTTCACTTTCTAGGATTCAATGAAGCTAGAAAAGAGCTCTTCCAGACAATAGTGTTCAAGCAGACAAACAGTAAATACAGACCAGCATGCCTACGAAAAGAATGTCAATATCTTTTTTGTACCCCCCCCCCCTCCTCCCCTTATCTTTATCTTGTTCAACAATGTCAGTTAGTTAGTTCGCCACTGAAAAAAAAAAGAAACAAAAATTAACTATCGCTGCGGCACATGTGCAAGCATCGCAGCTCAAGGGAAAAACGCCACGCAACCGCGCTGCTACGCTGCGCATCTGCGAAAGCCGCAGGCTGAGGATTGACTCGCAAAACGACTTTGTTTCCCTTGCAGTTTTCGAAATATCACTCCTATGCTATTTGTTTTTTAGTGCCGCTCCCATCAATCCACACATAACCAAAAGCGTTTTTTCTTCTGATAATTTACTTCCCTAAATATGGTGATGGCAAAACTTTTAGATAGGAAATCTTATTCTGGGTAGCTACCCATTCGTTGATAGTGCTCAAAATTCTATGCTGGTTGGTCTGTAGGGTCTTTTTAACACATAACCACTGCATTTCACCCAAATGACCAAAAACCTCCGGCAAAAACAGGTTCAGAATACTATACACTGCCACCACTGAGAATAGCACACTCGCAGATGATAATATGCAGTATCAACAACAAAAATATTATAATTTCCTATCAGTTTGTATTTGTATCATTGTGATTGAATAACCAAAAATATTCAAAACTTTCAAGTTCCTGGCCCCGCAACTTGATGGGACTGAACCAGGAACTTGACCTCAGCCAGAATTACTGAAGAACAAACAAATGAAGGTTTCCAAAGAGATGAGCTGCCATAAAACTTCAACGATGAGAGTTGATTTATCCTGAGCGTAAAGCAAAGGCGGCAACAAAAAGAGACCTCAGCAATTTGACGTCGACCAGCTGTTAACTGTCGAACTTTAACATCCACAAGTTCAAGCGATGAAAGGGATGAAAAAGATGGGAGCTGGGGAGAGACCAGAAGTAGACGACTGACCAAACCGCAATGATAAATGAAGAATAAACATTATGCTGATTCAATATATTTAGTAGCGTCGGAGAGGGGGGGGGGGGGGCGATGAAAATTCGAAAAAACGGTGAATTTTCGGAAAATTTTTCGAGAAATTCTTGAGCATCAATATGCAAAGCAGCAGCAGATATCCTTTGTTACAGCAAATAGAATCTATGTGAATCGGAAAGCTTCCGACATATAATCAATCTAAACTTTTTACTATCGACCATGTGTTTACCAGGTGCTAATGTCGGATAGGCCGCCAGTAAAACCTTCCAAGAAAAATATTTGGTCAATCGTAACATGGGCTGACAATAGCTCCCTCGAAGACTTCTTGAGAAATTTGGAATTAGAGTTAGTAAGAATTCACTTATGAAAGTTTCGCGGAAAGGAAAAAGTAGAAATGGAAGGTCCTAAAAAACTCAAAATCACGATGAGATGACAGAAGAAAAGGACGATTCGAAGAGCTAGGAAAGAAAAGATGAGTGTTGTAGAACTGAAATTGAAAAAGACTCATTTACTTATACGCCATGGAAAAACGTAATTTCCCGAAGATATTAGGTTGAAAACGCTTTACGCTGTAAAGCAATGAGACGGATCCAAAAAAAATATGTGAGGGGTACCACTCGGTAGAGCAAAGGGAACTCTACAAGACGACCTTTGAACATTGACATGATTTACCCAAATTATACCAGAACATAAGAGCAACTCATGATGCGAAAAATCGGATTTCTGCCCCGCAGATCCTATATCCTCTCACTTGCTCCTTTGTAACCAATACATGCAATTATCCATAAGTACACTCACTCCATATTTTCGAGCATAGAAATCAAGAAAAAATTAAGGACGGAAAATGGCAAACCAAAGATCCTGAGCTCCTCATATATGCCGTCGTATACTAATTCTCGAAGCTTTGACCAAGACATTTTGGTCTTGGTGCCTTACAATTAGTTCCTTAGAAATATCAATTTTAACGGGAAAAAATGAATTTTTTCTTTCCAACCTAATGTTTTTTTGTTTCTAATCTTTCCATAAACACAGATAACCAACAAGGAGAAAAGGAAACCGAGAACGTAAAAAAGAATGGCAAGATTGTGATGAGTAACTTCGAAGATATTTTCGAAAATCGTAAGCTAAGAAAAGGAAGAAATTATCAATGAGTTGATAAAAAAGTGAGAAGAAAGAATCTTATATATAAAGCTGAATGTCTGTTTGTCTGTATGTATGTCTGTATGTCTGTATGTATGTACGTATGTTCCGAATAGAAAATTTTATTTCTTAACCGATCCGGACCAAACTTGGCACACATACCCTTCGGGGCCGGGCGGGTGTCATAGGCTACTTTTCGTCATCGATCGATATCGATTTTATCGATTTTTATCGATTTTTTTGCTGAGTTCACCTACGGGGCTGGGAGTTGGCACAGGGGGGTAATCGAGCGTGGGGATTCCGAATACAATATTGGTTTTCAGGATTATCGATTACTTTTATCGATTTTATCGATTTTTTTGCAAAGTTTGAGCTACGGGGCTGGGAGTTGGCACAGGAGGGTAATCGAGCATGGGGATTCCGAATACAATATTGGTTTTCAGGATTATCGATTACTTTTATCGATTTTATCGATTTTTTGCAAAGTTTGAGCTACGGGGCTGGGAGTTCGCACAGGGGGGTAATCGAGCATGGGGATTCCGAATACAATATTGGTTTTCAGGATTATCGATTACTTTTATCGATTTTATCGATTTTTTTGCAAAGTTTGAGCTAGGGGGCTGAGAGTTGGCACAGGGGGGTAATCGAGCATGCTGATCATCCCCAAGGGGGGTGATCAGCATGCTAGATTACACCCCTGTGCCAAATTCCAGTCCCCTAGCTCAAATTTTCAAAAAATCGATAAAATCGATAAAAGTAATGGACGATCTTGAAAACTAATATTGTGTTCGTAATCTGCATGCTCGATTACCCCCCTGTGCAAACTCCCAGCCCCGCAGGTCAAACTTTACAAAAAAAATCGATAAAATCGATAAAAGTAATGGACGATCCTGAAAACTAATATTGTGTTCGTAATCAGCATGCTCGATTACCCCCTGTGCAAAATCCCAGCCTCGCATGTCAAAATTTACAAAAAATCGATAAAATCAATAAAAGTAATCGATAATTCTGAAAACTAATATTGTATTCGGAATCCCCATGCTCACTTCCCCCCTGTGCCAACTCCTAGCCCTGTAGGTGAACTCTGCAAAAAAATCGATAAAAATCGGTAAAATCGACATCGATCGATAACGAAAAGTGGACTGTGACACCCGCCGGGCCCGAAGTGTATGTGTGCCAAGTTTGGTTCGGATACGGCGGAGCCGGGTAAGCCAGCTAGTAAGGAAATAAAGAAAACTCACAAGCATGTGATCCATAGTAACCATTGTACATTCTTGGATTATACATGCTGTTGGCTCTTGATTGCTGAGCTCGATGATACCTATGATAGGGATGTCGAAGCACAGCCGCTGTCGGATCGCACTCCTCAACGATTACTCCTTCCACGGCTAATCTGAAAATATTCAGATTATCCCTGATCATTTCAGTAGTTTACACTGTAGAAGAGGAAGAAAACGAAAGAGGGGAAGGGAAAAAAGAAAATCGGAGAGAATGTAACTACAGAACTGCGAAAATTGCGCAAATAATGGTAACCTAAGCGACTGTCTGTTCAAATTATACCAATGATGAACATCGAAACACAATATTTGTCAATCGATGGAGCCGACCACCCTCAAAAGGGGGCGGAGCATACGATGCACTTATTGTTTTTACTCAATGACGTCATTGATATCCAATCCCTCACTGCAGGCGGTGTCAAATTTGTCAGTAAACAATGTCTGAGTAGGAGCAAAACCCGCTTGAATGGTTTATGTACTAGGGTAAACACAGAGATTAAAAGTACATTCAAGCATCAGAGACGAGCGCACAATTTTTTGTGAAAGGGGAAGATGGGAGGGAGAGTTTTTCCAGACTTAGAGGGGTGTGAAGTTCCTTAAATACATGAAAAAAAAGCTGCCAAAAAAATTAACGATAAGAATTTGCAGAAAATCTGTGTGTTTGTGTGTTTTTGCACATTTGCCATAGTCATGAACGATGAGCGGTGAAGCTCATTTTGACTGCTGTTCATCAAGATATGGTAAGAATAGGAAGCGAACCCAAGACGAGTCGGAGTCAAATAAAGGGCAAATTTTTGTTACATAAGAGATCAAGCACGAATGACTGGCTCCAAAACGGGGTGGAACCCGGGATGCCAGCTCGTAAACTGTAATATAAAGCAAAAAATATGCTCATTTTCACTACTCATGATCAATATACCATTCCTTCGCAGTCATGAACCCAATTATTAAATTGGGTAATTGCGGTGAAAATTCTGTTTCAAAGGTTAAATTTATTTGGAATTTATATGTTTGTGCACCATAATGTAAAAATAATTATTTCTACACAGGTGGATTCTCATTTGTAAATTTTGTTTATATTCTCCAATCAATTGTCAAGTGCTATTTCCCTTAACCCCAATGACTTAGACGGCAAAGATCGCCATCAAAAATTTCATCCTAACATTTGAAAGTGAAGTACAAAACAACACCATCAAGGAGCCCATCATGTTTTTACTTTACTTAGACCCTCTCCATTTGGAAGTGCATTACAATTAACAAACTGGACATAGGGCAAAAAATTTTGAAATGAGACATCTATGAGGTTTCAATACGAATTAAAAGCTGCCGTGTAAACTCAAAGTGAGATGGATCTGCCTAGAGTTATCAAAACAAAAAGTGTTGAATTTGAAAATTTGATAGTAATCCATCAATATGCAACTTCCATATTTTACCTCCTGGCGCCTGCGCGACATGACTGTTTCTACTGTAGTACGCAAGAGACAAAAAAAAGTAAGAAGATAAAGCAATGTATCTGGCAAAAAACTTCCAGCGATCAATAAATTCTCTCTTGATACAGGATTTCGTCAATAAATAGAGATCTATATTTTCCTCTGTAACGAACATTACAAAATCGTTTTGTTTGAGTTGCGAAACGATTGAAACCATCAAGGGAAGGTATATACGCGTTCTGGAAATATAATGTATGTCTTTTCTTCGTAATTGAGCTACTAATTGCCAACATTCATAATATTAGACTGTAAAAAAAGTTCTGCCAACTCCTCTTCTAACTATCAAAATCGAATGCGAATACGGGCTGGTCTGGGATGACTTCTTGATGCGCGATAGCGCCAGCTATCAAATACGCTATTCCGCTTAGAAAAATGACTATATAAAAAGGAAATACGACAAAAAATGATAGTCCTTTGCACTCAGGTCTGCGAAAAGGCACATTCCTCAGATTATAGACGCGCATAAAGAAGCATGATTTAGAAATTCGTTTTATACACTTCGTATTGAACAGATGAAGCGGGATTCGATCAATATTTGCTCCGGTACCTGTGTCTTTTTCCAAGCAAGAAATAGCCCGTCAATTTCGGAGTCGGAAAAGTGGAACCCGCTATCTGTTTCAAAACGCAGCCAACGCGGTCCCTTGGAGAAGAGTATCCTCAAATAATTCACCGAAACTTCCGCAAGACAAGTAAAGTTTGCGGCGGTTCCGCAGATATTGTTTACATTGCAAAAGTGAAAACCAAAAATGGGAGATCCCGCAGGACTTTTCACTAAGTCCTGCGGAACTTCCGAAAATGCCAGCGGTTCCGCAGCACTTTAACATGCCAGTACTTTCGCAGGTTTTTGAATGTGTTCTCTCTTACAATGTTGCCTCGCCAACAATTGGAGTGCATTGTCGAACATGTCATCCTTAGTGCAGAGGATTGTAAGTGCTCTCGCAGCGAGTAGAGTTCGCATCTCGCTTAGGTGTTCTCTTTTGCTGTTGTGGTTCGCATTCTTCGGAACCTCTGCAGGTAACCCGAGAACCTTCTCGAGCGTTCTGCGGAAATTCTGGTCAGTTGCTTGAGCGTGACATACTCAATCGGTAGTCCAAGGTTGTTTGTACACATAACCAAAATATCGTTGATTGAGTCATTGATGATGAAAATATAGATACAAATACCTTGACACTATTGGCAGAACTTTCTTTGCAGTCTTAAAAAAAGTTGCGGAGATCTGCCAGTTAACGAGTCAGAGTTTCATTTCGTCCACATTACTCCAGCACATTCAAAGGGCGCTAGAGGGCTTGTGTGGCTCAAAGGCGGGGGAAAAATCCTAGTCTCAAGGGTACGAGCGGCGCAACAAAATTCCACATCTGTAGATAGGGAATGACTCTTACTCTAACATCATCTCCATGACACAGAATGACTGTGAGAGGACAGAGAAAAGCTTTTCACACAATTTCCGTTTTAAGGGGGAAAATGTGGTGCAACGTAAAGCACTTTATAATTTACTCTTGCAAGTTGCTACGCCTGTAAACCGGCAAAGAGCGTGCAAAATGCCCATAAAGCACACGTTTTTGATTTTACGCGGGCTGGCAATTTGTTCACGCGCAGATGTTGTCAGCGGATTCTAGAAGGCAAGAACACTATATTCAGCATTACATCTGCTAGCCTGTATCTTGACGACACTACTTCGCCTGCCCCTCACTAAAGATATTCTGATATTGTTCTTAAAATTCTACTGTGGAGCCTCTGACCATCAACTTACAATATTTTTTAGCAGATCAATATTCTTTAGTGATACTATTATAAAGTGTCTCGATTTTGTCCGGATAATTGTATTTTGATCAGGATTATTAGCTGTGATTACTGAGCCCATTAATATCGTTAAAATGCGCATTTGTCATCTTCAAGCACAGCTGCAGAAATTGATTTATACCATGAGACCTGACGACGGCCAATTTATCACAAAGGCAACAGTGATTAATTTGTTAATTTCCGCGCTTTCGAAGCAAAAAGCATAAAATATTGAGGTACTTTCGCTATGTGATCGATAAATCCGGGTAAATGCCGTTCTGCACCTTATTTTGGAAAAGTTACCGGAGATTTGCTCTCCAGCGCTACGGCCGTGTATTTATAAGTTTTTTTCTCTTCCGTAAACGTTCCTCTTATGTTCAAGAAAGCACTAATGTAATGCAGTACTGCGAAAAAAGGTGGCTCCAAATATTTTTCTGTATTTTCCGACTCTCAAAAGGCTTTCTATCTCACAAAACAACTGACTCTGAAACATTCTTGAATTGCTGTACGTCAGTCCATAAAACCGTAAACTGGTTCAACAAGCACTTTTTTCCACAAAGACCGTTACTGTCTGACGTACTTGTTGCCGTCGAACATGAACGCGACATATTTTCTAGCTGATTGCCTGAATTGCGCCGTATCGACAAAAAGCTGAACACACATATTCGATGTACACAGTTATGCAAAACGAAAACTGCATTCCTCGCCTACGCGACTCGGCCTGCTGCAAGATCTTTTCGTAGATAAATCTGGACTAGGGTCGGGAAAAGATGAAATGGTAAACGGAGATGTCAGCCAAGGCTGGCACAGGTGGCTTATAACCAAGCTGGATATCGTTGGGACAACAAGCACACGGGATATCGTTTTTGTAAGTCCAAAATTAGGTTTTTTGTCGATTTGGATGTTTCGGATAAGGGTCAAAGGGGACTTCGTAAAGTTTTGCGAAAGTCAGAAGGGATTTAGTTTTTTTTTTCGCATTTCCGGAGAGCCACCTCGTCTAATGTCAGCAGAAGCAGATCGTAAAAACAAAGAACCTTCTGTCAAAACGAGGACAAATTTATATTTCAGATTTCATTTAGTAGTATAAAGTGATTTTTTCTCAACTTCATCCCCTCCCCCCCCCCCCATCCCCTACAACATTTTCGAGAATTACCCAAGATATTACAACTACTTCCCAACTACTACTTATGCATTGAGAAAAATGTATATTGCAGCTTTCGAGGCAGTAGAGAGGCGAGAAGCCCCCCCCCCTTCGCCTAAAGTAAGATTGCTCTGTGATATCTCTAATGTATCTCATATCTGTTACTGTTCGTTAAAGGCTAACTTCAGAAAAATTTTGAAAATCAACCTGAGAATTTACGTAGATACGGCATACATGTTACCATCTTTTGTGACATGATTTCAATTTCGAGCTCTTCAAACAATCGAAAACCCCGATATCTATTACCAAAACAAGAACCTCTCCTGCTCTACTCCTTAGAAAAATATCTTTTTACCTCCACCCCCTCTTTAGAATAAATTTTTGGTACCGCTACCGATGTAGAGATATCTTGATGAATTGAGGTGACCCTACACAGAGACTTGAGCAGTTGCTTGACGATTACAGTATCAAATGCCAACTTCATAATTACAGTAATTCCCAGTCAGTTTTACAGAATTCTGCAATGGCAGAGGAAAAAGACAATAATGTGAGCTTACATCTCACCCATGATTAATCTGTTCTACGAGCATATAAGCGACCATGAGAGAAAAAGTTCATCGTTCATTTCATGAGGTTCAAATGACAGATACCTAGACAAGGCAAGTGGGAAGCGGAAAATGATGATAAAAAGAATAATGATAGAATTGCGAAAATTTTTGAGGGGTAAAATTGCTTACATCTCATTTGGCGTAACTCTTCAAGAATGCTGTGAATCGGATACCCACCTATCAGCCAAGTGATTCATCGAATCCGAAAGACTCCATGCTCGATTCGGAGTTGCGGTAGCGAAGAAGCCATACGAAGCGGCATGAATGTGATTCACTCCGTTCGACAGACCATTCGCTCCGCACAGTTCGACATTCTGCTGCGAACCTCCGCCACGGAATGCCGCGCTTAGGCGCCGCTTTAATTTCTTCATCTGCCGTTCCAGATGCAGATGCGTCGTCTGTAATTGCACAATTAGCGTTTGTAAATTTGACCATATCACGAGGAGTCTCTTCGTTCGCGATAGTCAACAGGAAAAGGATTATTTATGCCAAGGGTGCAATTTCTACCGTAACCTACTCCAATATCAAAAGAATTGATGGAGTAAAAAAGTACGCAATTTGCACACAAACGCATTTTGCGACGGATACGGTAGAAACTGTTTATAAAGAATGCAATGCAGGAATGTTCATGAATCTATGCAGAAAATGATGAAATATACAAACTTGAGTAAACAGACAGAAACGAAGCAAAGCGGGCCGTAAGTGTAAATAATGGATTGAGGGGAAAAAACAAATGTGACACTAGAAAGCCCGAAGAAAAATGACATAGATGGCATGTGAAAAATGGGAATTTCTCAAAAAAGAATTTGCCACGGTGGAAGTTCAAAGATATAATGATCTGGACAATAGCCATAGGTGAGCAAATAGTATTCTTGTAAGAAAGAAAGGTAGCAATGTGAATGAAAGGGAAAGCTCTGAGAGTTTTCGTGTTTACGTAAAGAATAAATTCGAAAACCGAAACGTCAGAATCACTGGCAGATGTCAAAATAATTACGGATAATAATAACAATGATAATTTCTGAATGACGAAATCCGAGAAGGCGTCACCGTGACTGACTCTGCAGACTCATCTAATTCAAACATCTATAGATCAATTCAAAGATAAGGTTCGATGAAAAAACAGCGCCGAAGAAAGTCCGAGAAACTAGAAAGTCTGAAGAAAAATCGAATTTGATCACACATACCATAGATCACAATCTATGTGCGAAAAATAACGCTGGAAAAATAAACGATTTTTATGAGAGAAACGCAAATCGATCGAGCTTGTTCATGAATATGTATGTGTGTAGAGAATGATCGCTCGACACAACATAACGCTCATACATCGTCATGTCATTGAAAAACGACACGGCTGACCGAATTTCATTCGCCCGCGTTCGGGTTCGCGCACATGCGAACGCACACACACACACGCACGCATACAAAACACGAATTCGACCAAAATCGCTGCTAATGCGAACACTAACGCTTTGAATCAACGATCTTTCCCCGAGCTAAATATGGTTTCGAACGAGCTCCGTGGTAGAAAAACTGAAGTTGGTCCAGCAGCAAGCGACTAAAATCACCTGAAGTTCAAACGGGAGCCAATTCTGGGCTCGAACTGTCACCCAAAATATTCTGAATAGCACCCAATTCATGCTAATTGAGTGTTCTCGGCGTGAACATGGTCTTGAACAAGCTCCCTAATCTGCGAAGGAGAGCCAAAATTGGTAATCTGATGGTGCCAAGCCGAGTTGCTTGAAATCGTTCACAGTTGGGTCACTTGTAGCTCAATCTGTGTATTGCACAACTTGCGTGGTATTCGGCGACTGTGCTCAGAGGTTGCCAACTTATAGGCGTTGCTTTTCGTTTTCCTTTTATCTCATGATGGACAAATCAGGTATTCACATAAATCAAAGTAAGAAAAAATTAATCATGGATAACTATTTACAAAAATAGCCGATCAAAAATTTCTACTTGTTCTTACGAATAAATAGTCGTGAGGTACCGTCCGCGGTGTGCAACTTCACATTCTCAGTTGAGAATGACTCAGCTACACATACTTTGGTCTCATTCCAGAATGGAGTTAATTTGGAGAGTGACTCACCACTTTCTCTGATAGTGCTAATTTCACGTAATAACGGTGTGTTTAAATGCTTTCCGAGCTAAACATGGTTTCGAATGAGATCCTTACAGAAAAAAAACTGAAGGCAGTCTAATGCGTAGAAGCCTTGCTTCACATCGTTTATCTTTTTTCGGTTTCACCCCAAATTGCAGTCAATTTCAGTGAAGCCCAATTAAACTACGTAGAAACACCTATCTAGATAGTTTCAGGATTGCATATTGAGTTTTGAAACCAGTTTGATAACATTTCTTTTGATGTGGCGCGAACATATTCTGACATGTAGGCTGTGAAAGTTAAGCATTTTGAAATCTTTAGCGGCCAATCAGAAAAGTCCACGCATTTCCAGAAGCCCGCCATTTTCGAATGGTTAGTGGACCAGATTCAAAAATGAAGCTTTTGCAACCCGAATTTACCATTTCAAGTCGGAATTCCACATTCTGGTTATAGGAATTTTTTTGTTGTGTATACATTTCAACTACTGCCTTCGAGTCAAACATGAAAGGCGTCATTTTGTCATTTTTCTTACTCACTCTTTCCTTAAAAAAAGGCCAGCGTTCAAAAAAATGAAAAACAACCTTAATGCGCTTTCGTAGCTCATACCACAGTCCACATATAACCGAGATTTGAACGCACCACATGAACAATAAAAATTATGACGAATTCAAGAAATTGAATCCAATTTATTTATGGCTCCTCAAAAGAATTAAATTTGGTCTGATTCGTAGATGAGAGATGCCCAAAATCGACTACCATTTATTGGTTTCTCCAAAGTGGAGGTAATTTCTTTGAAAAATTTGAACTGTCACGTTCAGCGAAGCAAAACTATTTAAAATCTTCAATTATTTTTTGATCAGTTCAATTGGAAGTTAATTGCAAAAAAAAAACCATTCGAAGTTTCGTCCATACGTTCAATCAATGCCCCTCGCTCACACAGCCGACATAACTTGAATGCCTTCTCGACTTGAAGACGGTCTAATCGACCTCTTCAATATAAAAACCAAATTTCATCTAATGAGCAGAAGCCAAACTGTTCAATTTCCTTTTTTAGGTCCACAAGTTGGAGCCAATTTTACTTCAAGAAAAAGACATTCTGAACTGTCACAAACAAGAATTCTAAAGTTCTTATTTGTGACGATGATGTTATTCAGATGTATGATATGAGTATGCTGAATACGACTTGACAGCTGCATTGTACGCTGTATTAAACAAAGAATCAAAGCCAAAAACAACAGATGCAATCGGGAAATCAATGTGACAATCAATGTTGGGTATACTAGAGCTTTGCTTATCAGCCGAAATGATTAATTGCTTGCGACGCAAGGAAAACAGCAAGATCTTCAAACTGATTGTAGCAGAAAATGACGTTGACGAGCAAACTAAGCAGTTGTCATATGTTTATCAAAGCTTATAGGGTTATTTAGGAAATGTGAAAGTGACTGAACATGGAGAAAATTTGGGCAGAAGAATTAGGGGTAAACGGACCCTCAACTTGAACACTAACCTTCAAAATAATTGCGTGTGCAACTATACATTTTGGTCGTTCAAAGCTAGCGTAAGAGTTCAAATTTTACTAGCAAGCATTTTTAGGAGTCGATTTTGAAAATAGTAATCAACTGAACAAGTACAACTTTTCTGTTTTTTTCAATGAATGTGCGACAAGGATCCTTCTGTTCTGACTTCAAAATGGTGCCAACTAATTTATAAGTATGAAATTACATGTAAGAAAACTACTTGCACTAGTTCATAAGAAGCTTATGTTCATTTTTTGTTATGACTCACTTTTCTTGCACTAGAGGTAACGTTATGGTAAAACAACAATATTTCCTTGAAGAATTATTTAAACTTCAAACTGAAATTTCGCAAGAAATACTCCACCAAGATTCTTTGCAAACAAACTATCCTAAGATAAAGATAAGCGATATGTTCCAGGTAAAACTCTGAATGACACATGTTCGAACGAAAGGATAACTGTTACTTTGCTTACCCAGTATCATTGACAGAGGAGAAAAATGCACATAGACTGTTGAAACTACGAAAAAAAAGAATAAAAATGAAGAGGATGCACTCAGTTTGTGAGTTGTTGGAGAAGTGGAGGCTGGAATAAGATGAGTTCATCATGCTGATGAGGTTACGTAGGAGGTGGAGCGAGTTTGAGCAGTGAAAAACAAGAAAATTGAAGGAGACAACCAATCTTGGCCAGATGCCAAAAGTGCAACGTTTCAAAACGCATTCGATCTATTAGGTTGAAACATTAGCTTTGCACCAAAAAACAAGTAAATGATTCAGAATTGCTTGTGTAATTCAGTTTGTCAGATATTTTTATAAATAACCAATATAACAATACAACATGAAATATCCTCGCGTCATTTGTAAATCAGTACGCGTCGAAAAAATTTTTTTCAATAAGGCTAATTTGAATTTTTAGAAAGTTTAGAAAATTATTTTAAGTATTTGCAGAAATAAGCAAATCACTTGCACATTTTCATAACCCATGTAAGTAGATTTCAAAAATTTCGCGACCCATTTTGGGGGGGGGGGGATAGCAACACATTTGATGGAAATTCTATTTCGAACAAAATTCATGGTGGAAAACTCAAAATTACAACTTTTTGTAGACATTCGATCAGGAAGAATTACCCTTAGGAGATATAGAAAAGCCAACTGCTTTGAACAATTAGACTGAAAGGTGTGGGATCTTTTAGCATCTCCGGTGGCCCGAATAAAATAAAATACAATTGGAGTGTTTGTTTTTATAGGATTTTACCGCGACATAAGAACAATGATTTATTTTTGAAATAAAGTAAAAAGTGATGAGTGCACGATTTTTTTCTCTCTAATTTAAAACATGGAGAACAAATTCATTGAATATGAAGAAACTAACGATTTCCAAAAATTTTAGCGACAAGTCGCAACCTGGTTCTTATGCTTAGGAAAGACAGTAGACAATATGTTTATACTTTGCAAGCAGGAAGTACATCCGGTAGAACCAGTACATTGAGAAAAGCTAGAGTCTTTTTCAAGAGGAGAATAAGCTAAGAAACCAGATATAAAGCAGGAAGTTTACATTATCGAGAATGTGACGATCAAACAAAGCGTACAAGTTGCGCAGCACGGGAAGAAGACGGTTAGTTGGCTTGAGTTGGCTGCGGGTAAACTGGTCTCGACCTCTCTTGCAGATGTGTTGTATCGAGTCGTTTGGCGACATTTTTATGTCGACGACAACCTGCTAAGATCGACAACAAGCGTAGTGTAATAGGAGTTTGTGCTGTGAGTTGAGTAGGATGACAAGATTTCGAACA